TTTTTCATTTGAAATGATATTGAATTGCTACACACACACACACACACACACACACACACACACACACACACACACACACACACGTATGCACACACAAACACAGAGGAAATGGATTTGTGAGGCTTCACAAGGGCATCTGAAAGAAATTATCTTTTTTTTTTTCAAATGAATGTTTGCCATTTTAATACATTGGTATTGTTTAACTGGTATCATTTGTAGAGTGTAAAAATCTGGTCAGATTTATTGACAGTTGTGCTATTTAGCAGATACCATTTCAGACATACAGTTAAGAGAATCCTAAGGGAACAATTCTGGCCTCTTTTTGCTCATGCTGGATTGCCCCCTGTTGACACGATTTTGCACTGCATCTTGTATTTCTGTAACATTTTTGTTCACTGTTTGGGATCACGTTTGGGATTATTTTAGAATGTTGATCAGTGGAAAATGAGATTAGTGTTGACTGTTTCAATATTTTATATGTGCGTTGCTAGTTTTGAAATATACGGGACTTCTATTAGAAGTGGAAGAATGGGTGTTTGTGCATTTTGGAATAAAATTCAGTTTGCTCGCGGAGACATACTTTGACTTTTATTGAAAATTCCAATTTTTATGGTGGGATTTTTTTTTTGTAAAGACTGTAAATATATAAGAGTGATTTTTGTAACTTATTACAGCAGGGCCAGAGTACTTAGTTTTTACACAAGCCATTTGAACATAATTTTGGTTACCAGCAAGGATGTCAGTTTTCTGAAACCAAAATTATTGAGTAGCTAATATTCTTCCTGATATAGAGAAGATAGCATTCATCCTTTTAAAAAGCTTTTCTATAGTCAGATTTTTCAAAAAACAAGTTCTTAAATTTGGCAGTGAAACATACAAGCCTACATACTGGCAAGAAGGCAAAGTCTAATCCAAAACAAATTAAAATAACACGAACTTTTGTGAAAGCTAAATTAGAGTTAACACAAAATGCTCAGTTTGTATTTTCAAAGTGTTTCTGTTTTTAACATTTTTTTAGAATATTGACCTGACATTAATGAATATTCTCAGTACTGCTATGCTGTATTCTCGAGTGGAAGAACATTTTTTTACAAAAATAATATACAGCCACATATCAATACATCTTTGTAATACAGATTGAATAAAAGATACATTATCAAATGGATCTCTATATACTTGTGCTAATGTTAAATTTTATTCATACAAGGTCTTCATTGTTCCAAATTATTTCATCATTACTAGATACAATTCTTTCCTAAATTTAAATTTTTAAATATGTCTATGTGCAAAAAAAAAAAAGATTCTTTACATTAATTTCAGATTTGGACAATCTATAGATTATTAAATCCTTTCTTCACAAGCAACTCTTTTCCCTACTGACTTAATCCATAGTTGAAGATCATGGTTACAGTCACATGTATATCATAGTTAAATTGAATTTGGCGTTAATTTGGTTTCAAAGCTGCTTTCAGCTTCTAGGTAAGCTTAAACACGAATGCTAATGAATTCTAAAGTGTGATATAAATTCAATCTAAAGAACCTGTGCTTGTGTGGGGAAAGGATTGAAGACAAAATCATATTTTTATATTAATTACCCTAATCTTTCACCATGATTAAGGGCAAAATTCAGTGAGAATGTACTAGGTATAGGCTACAGTTAATTTATGTGAATCTAAGAGGTCATATAGAGGGTTACTTTGCATAAGAATGGTGTTGTTCTTGCATCAAACTTTTTTTTCAGGAACAAGAATAAAAGTTGGTGATTTACTTGATTCAAATTTCACTTACAGTATATTTCCATGGCAATGATGATATATTATTCTTAAACCTTGGCAGTATTATAGTAGAATGTTTATAAGGAAATATAATTGCCTACTTATTTGTTGATATGAGTGATCCTTAGCCTATATGAAAAAATAGATGTTTTGAAATTTTGGAAGTTATCTATAGGAATATTTACTTAGACGTCAGCATCACTTTGTCCAATATACTTACTCACCAGTAAATGAGCACATTCTTATTTTGTTTTGAATAAAAAGTTGAGGAGTCACTATAAATCTATGGTTGTTTTCTGACAACACCAATATCAAGTGATTAACATGTTTACCTGATCCCACTTTCTCAGGGAAAAAGCATTGTTTATAAGTTTATAATCATGATTAAACTCTTCCACCATCAGCCCAAATCTGTTATATAACACAATAACCTTCAACCTTGGGGTTATGGGCACTTTTCAGGATTGTGGTTTATTTTTTAAAAAAAACATGGTTGCCACATATGAGCAATTACATATTTATGTTAAATATTTTTTCCTAAAAAAGGATGCAGTAAAAAAACAAACTAGCACAAATTATGTCTCAGTATTCTACTCTAGATAAAGGATCAGTGTGGGTAAAAAGTTAATTTCATCAGCTCTCCAAGTTCTCAATTCAATTTCAATCAAATTTTCTTCTAATAGAAAGATTATATCCCAAATCATTTTCCCTTGAAACGTATGAAAAAAAAATCACTACATACTTACCCGGTTAATATATAAAATCATAAATACATTATAATCCAAACCTATTGATCCAAACTCACACATTCTTAAAGCCTGATTCCTTCTGGGTCACTTCTAAAACCTTTTTATCTTCTATTTACACACATCTATACATTTCCATCACGACTTAGGATCATTTGCTTTTGTATCAGGCCTCTTTTCTCTCTTTCATCTCCCTCTGGGCTACCCCTTACTCCACCAGAACTTTCTACTGTCATTTCCATTTATTTAAAACAGTTTTTCCTTTCTACTCTTCCTTTCTTTTGAAGTTGTAAAGCAGCAGACCTCTAGCCTTCATCTCACCACACTTTTTCCCATTTCTGAAGAAAGCTCAAAAATATGTGGGCCCTGGAGGAATTGTGGGAAGGGAAAGGAGCAAAGTAATTGGAATTTTGCTTCTTGATACTTGTACAAAGTTTAAAAAAATGTCTAGGTGGTGTGATGATGGCACTGGTGACGTAAAAGACAGAAATAAGCATCTTGTTTGACAAGCATCACGGTAGTATCCTAGAAGCACCTTTCTGTCCACAGTCAATTGTCAACCACAGCTATAAAGGTTGTTTATTATAAATTAATGTTGGCATTAATTTTAGTGTATTATGATTAATGTTTACATAGGGTTAGGGTTAGGGTTAGGGTTAGGGTTAGGGTTAGGGTTAGGGTTAGGGCCAGAAAAGTTAAGAAGATGCTTCTCATATATATTTGAGCATGTGTGTTCATGCAGAAACATAAATATACTTTCTATCTCAAGTTATACTGTTAAGGGCATTCAGTGATTATATACAGAAT